CTTGGTTACACAGGAAAAGACTCCTTTTTCTTACAAGGCAACTGTTACAGGTTGAATTGTGCTTCCTTCCTAAATTCGTATGTTAAAGTCCTAACTCCCAGCAGCTCAGAACGTGGCTTTATTTTCTTTTTTGTTTGTTTTTTATTTATTTATTTGAAACTCAGAGTTACACAGAGATAGAAGGAGAGGTAGCGAGAGAGAGAGAGAGGTCTTCTATCTACTGGTTCACTCCCCATTTGGCCGCAAAGGCTGGAGCTGCGCTGATCCAAAGCCAGGAGCCAGGAGCTTCTTCCAGGTTTCCCACGTGGGTGCAGGGGCCCATCTGCTGCTGCTTTCCCAGGCCATAGCAGAGAGCTGGATTGGAAGAGGAGCAGCCGGGACTCGAACCGGTGCCCAGATGGGATGCCGGCATCACAGGCAGTGGATTTACTCGCTACGCCACAGTGCGGGCCCCACGGCTTTATTTGATGTGATAGCAGATGAGATAGGTTAACCTGAAATCGTGCTGGAGCTGGGGAGGGGGGCCCTAATCCCATGTGACTGTGTCCTCATAAGAAGAATCCCTGTGCAGACAGACCAGAGGCAAGACGCCACAACACAGTCATCCACAAGGAGAGGGGCGTGGAGGCTGCCAGAGCCAGAGGAGGGGCTGGGAACCCACCCTCCCTCCTGGCCCTCTGCACGGTGGAGCTTGCCAACACCTTGACTTCAGGCTCCCAGCCTTCAAGCAAACACACTTACTGCTGTTGCTTAAGCCACGTGATTTGTGGTGGTTTCTTATGGCAGCCCTAGGAAGCTAACAGCGACATGAACAGGTTCCAGGAGTTAGGACCGGAGATCCTTGGGTGGCCCTTGTTCAGACCGCTACAAAGGAAAAGTGCTTGCTGCCTTTGCAGCTCTTGGAGGCTGCCAGCGCTCCTGGCTGGTAGCTCCTTCCTCCACCTTGCAAGCCGGTCTCGCAGCCTTTGCCTCCATCGTCACCTCTCCTCTCTGTGGCCCCTGCCCCCCACCCGTAGCCCTGTGATTGCATCGGCCTTCTGCGTAATCACGACCACCCCCCTCTCCAGAGCCTTTATTTAGTCACCTGCAGAGCAGCCTTCACCACACGGAGACAGTCGCAGAGTCTGTTGTCAGGATGTGAACATTTTAGGGGAGCTCTTCATACCGTGTCCATTTTTCTGTATTTTATTCTTAACCATGAATGGATGTTGAATTCTCTCACTTTTTTTCTGGCATCAATCACTACGATAATGTGATTTTTTTTCTTCTTCAGTTTAATATGTTGAATTACATTGATCTTCAAATATTGACCACTGTTGGAGCCCTGGAATAAACGCCACTTGATCATGGTGTTTAATCATACCCACGCACATGCGTGTAACTGAATTCTGTCTGCTAATGTCTTGTGAAGGTTTTTGTGTGTACGTGCCTATACGCGTGATGGGAGTCTGTTTCTGCTTTCTTTATTCTGTCCTTTACCTGGTGTTAGGTTCAGAATAATGTTAACTTCATGAGTGAGTCAGGAAGTGTTCTTGTTTGCTGGAATAGATGGCATGGAGGTTCTATCAGTTTACCTTTAAACACTTGTGGAATTCTCCTGGGAAATGATGATTTTTTGAAAAAAATGATATAACAGGTTTTCTTTAAAAAAGATTTATTTATTTGAAAGGCAGAATTAGAGAGAAAGAGAGGTCTTGCATCCAGCGGTTCACTCCCCACATGGTTGCAATGGCTGGGGCTGGGCCAGGCCAAAGCCAGGAGCCAGGAACTCCATTTGGGTGTCCCATGTGGGCGGCAGGGGCCCAAGCACCTGGCCATAGCAGAGGGCTGGCTGGGAAGTGGAGCAGCCAGGACTAGAGCAGGTGCCTATATGCGATGCCACCATGACAGGCTGCAGGTTCACGGGCGCCACCTCAGCCCCTGGAGCACTGGCTGCTGCCTTCCCAGGCAAATTCGCTAGAGCGGGAGAGGAGCTGCCAGGACTCAAGCTGGCACTCCGACAGCAGATGCTGCGTTGCAAATGGTGGTGTAACTGCTGCACACTCGCCCCTGGAGACTTCCCTGTCCCTCGCTATGATAAGTCATTTTCTATGGGAACTTTGGCATTTCCGTGCTATGTTCTGAGACGCGGGCTCTTACTCAAACTCTGTTTCAGCTGATTTTGTTTGACACTCCTCCAGTAAGGGAAGGGGAAATGTTACCTCCTCTGGCCAGGTGGGGGTGGCAGTCGGGCTCCCCCGGAGGTGGGAGCAGCCTCGTCTTCCCTGAGCAGTAGACTGCGTACTGGGCCTCCTCGACACCACCCCATTGGAGCGTTGGGGCACCTGTTACAGCCTGGTCTCAGCGGCTGCCTCAGTTGGCCCCTGCTGGAATGGGCAGCTTTGGGCCCCCCTTCTGTCTGTGGTGTCTGGCTGGCGTTGGGCAGGTAACGTCTCAAAGTTTCCCATCTTGCTGGGCTGCCCCTTTCCCGTTCCTTTGGCTAACGAGAGCAGGCTTTTGTCTGTGTGTGCTGCTGTTTCTGCCAAGGTTTTAACTAACTATTTATTTGAAAGGCAGAGTGAGAGAGGAGGACAAACAGATCTTCCATCCACTGGTTCACTCCCCAAATGGCTACAATGGCCATGGCTGGGCTAGGCCAAATCCAGGAGCTTTTTCCAGGTCTCCTTCGTGAGCGCAGGAGCCCAAGCACTTGGGCCATCCTCTGCTGCTTCCCCAGGAGCGTCAGCAGGGAGCTGGGACAGCCAGGCCTCAAACCAGCATCCAGATAGGATGTCGCCGCAGGTGGAGGCGTAACCTGCTACATCACGATGCTGGCCTCCCCGCCAGGGGTTTTAATCAGACTCAGGGGAGGCTGGGCGCAGCTAACTTGACCCGCCTGGAAGCCCAAGTTCCGGTTCTGGTTTGGGGACTTTTCGAGCTGTCCTTTACTACAGATGGTCAAACATTTTCAGTTGTTTCCTTAATGGTGCATTTTCTGTAGAGATGTTTGGTTTTTATAGACTTGAGTATATTAATCCTTCTTGGATTCCAGTTTGTAGCATTTAGAAAGGCTGCTCTCATACCAAGATTACGAAAAAATTTTCTTCTAGCTTTGAAGTTTTTTTATTCTACATTTTCCTGTGTCTCTATCGGTGTTTGCCGGAGGTTTTAATTGCACCAGCACAACACAAGCCACCTGGAATGTAGGAACAGGAATCTCCCTGCGGACCCAGTTGTCCCAGCTCCATATTCTGGGGTTCAGATAAATTCCTTTATTTGCTAAACGCTCTTTATTAATGGTGTTCCTAAGAGCCGTGACCTGGAAAAGGCAGAGCCTGCAGCAAGCAAGGGCCGGGCCAAGCCTTGGCCTTCCTGGGGCGTGACTGTGTGAGCCAGCTTGACCTGTGACATTCTGCTTGGCTCGGAGCTGCACACTCTGTATTTTGGAATGCAAAGCTGCTTTAAAAGGTGCGCGAGGGGCCGGAGCTGTGGCATAGCGGGTAAAGCCAGTTCGAGTCCTGGCTGTTCCACTTCCGATCCAGCTCTCTGCTGTGGCCTGGGAAAGCAGAAGATGGCCCAAGTCCTTGGGCCCCTGCACCCACGTGGGAGACCTCGAAGAAGCTCCTGGCTCCGGATCGACGCAACTCCAGCCGTTTGGTGAGTGAACCAGTGGATGGAAGACCTTCCTCTCTCTGTCTCTTTAACTCTGCATTTGAAATAAATCTAAAAAAAAGGGTGCATGAGCTGGCAAAGTTCTGTGTGCTCAGTGGCCTGGGTGTTGTAGAAGGGTGGCCAGGCCAGTCTCAGCCTCCACCAACACAGTACCTGTGGAGGGGAGACGTAAGGACACAGGGGAGTGTGACAGAAGTGGGCCCCTGCAGGGGCGAGAGGAGCACGCAGCGGGGGCTGAGGGCCGACTGATACCCCATGCCAAGACACGGAGCAGCTGGCAGTGCCTGGCTCCCGGCAGCGCTCCTGCCTCCAGGTCCCCCAGAGGGAGGCAGGGGAGACAGTTGATGCCACTTTCGGCTCTGAGCAGCAGGCCTGGGCCCAACCTGAACCAGTCTGCGGCCCCGCCAGCACTGCAGGTAGGCAGAGTCAGAGTCAAATGGGGGGCATCCGAGTGGCCCAGGCAGGGACTGCGGCAGTGCAGTGACACTAGCCCTGACCTGACCCTTCTCTTCCAGGCTGTGGCCCCTTCTGCCTAGGAGAGTACCCTGGTCAGGGAGTGAAGGGGTGAGGCTCTCCACGGCCCAGCGGGCCCAGGTCTTCTGGCCCGGCTGCAGCACAGTGTGGCCTTCCAAGTCCTACACGGGCGCAGGTCACGGGCGTGGCCCTCTGGCTCAGGGAAAGCATTTGCCATGTCTGAGTCTTATTTTCTTCCAAGATTGGGGGTTGGATCGGCTAAGTGCTGTGTTCTGGCAGCTCGGGCTGAAGCAGGTGTAGGAGCAGGGAGCCCGTAGCCACTGGGCTGCCGGTCTCTAGGTGGGTGTCTGAGCCTTCCCGAGCCCGTTTTGCTCTCCAGTGATAAGGACGATGGGCTGATGCGATGGCTGCTGGCGCAGGGGCTCAGGCAGCGAGGCGGCTATTACCACTGTGCCTTTCGAGATTCTGTCCGCTAAAGGGCAGCCCGCATGCCAGCCTCCCCTCTGCCCACCAGCGGCCCCTTGGGAGCCCACGGGCTGGCCTCGCGCCTCCAGCTGGCTGTGTATGTCTCCAACTTTACCCTCCCCTCCCCCCATTGAGCTACGAGGTCCCCCTTGCTGCCTGGCAGACAGCTGCCCCGTCACTGTGGACTCAGGAGCCGCGACCAGGACGCGGAGGAGCCTCCAAGCACAGGGCGCGGCCCGCCCTCCCCGCGCCGCGCCTCCCGGGAGAGGAAGGTGGCTGGCACAGCCCTTGCACCAGCCCCGCCCACTGTGCCAGGGCCCGCTGAGGAGCTGACGGCAGGACTCCCAGACTGCCACCTCGGCCGCCCCAGCCCGAGCTCTCGGAGTCCGGGGATCCAAGAAAGAGGCTGGTTTGATGTCGCTCCTCATTTATTCATTCCATCTGTTCTAAGTTGTACAGTTACGAAAATAACAAAACCAAAGCTGGAAGCCCAGGAATATTTACACTCTCGTGAAGTGAGGTCAGTCTATGTTGCCACACAGATTGGTTATGTTTGGTACCACAAGATGTCTATAATTCAGACAAAATCAGACAGATGAACAAATGTATGTACAGTGAAACGAGGGGAAGTCATTCAAGTATCAAAATACAGAGACAAAGATTAAATAACATTTTTATTACAATTCAGTCCCACTGCCACCCATCTGCAACCACACCTCCGTGAGCTGCACTCTGCAGGCCTGGGCATCTCCGAAGGCCGAGCTCAGCCCAGGCTCCCGGGGCCTGGGTGACTACGGCTGTGCCTGCTGTGGGCTCAGCCCAGGCTGCTCAAGGAACCCTCCATTATCTGATGCTAGCAGCGGAGCGTGGCAAGTGCAGAGCAAGCGGAAGAGAAGGTGGGGGCCGGGGAGCCAGGGCTGGGTCTGCTCCCAGCTGCAGTCCCCCACCTCGGGCTCCTTCACAGTTCAGAAACAGGGACTGGGCCTCCCGGTGTGACCTGCACTCGGTGCACACGCAGGGCTCTCCGACCGCAAGCCTGGCCTTCCCGGGGCGGGCACAGGGGAGCGCGCCACCTTCCTTACATTCCTGTCTTTGAAATAAGCCAATCTCAAAACCAGAGCCGGAGACCGGCTGAGGCGCTGGGGTGCGAGCACACCCTGAATAAATAGAGAGATAGCAGCTTCGGGGAAGACACACCTATGCTCTAAGAACGACAGACGGCCTCCGGACGCATCTTAGTGTCTACGTGGTTTCTGTTTGGGTCTCCCGCCCACCAGCAGACGCCGGCTTAGCTGGGACTCGGCCCCTGTACAAGACGACGGCACCGCCCCGGCACCGCAACGCGAGGCAGCACCGTGCACTCGGGATCCTTAGGCTTCCTGGGCAGCTCTGGGAGGAAGCAGGGGCTGAATACTGTGCAGTGTCACTGACGGGGATTCTCAGGCCCTGAAGCCAACAGGAAGAACTGCAGGTGTTGAGGTCCTTGTTTAGTACCAAGAAGGAGGAGTCTGCCTCTCCCACAGCGGGGAGCTGAATCCCAGACCCGCCATGCCAGACGCTCAGCAGACAGGAAAGCCCCGAGGCCCAGCCTCAAGTCAGCTGCAAGGTACAGGCCTGCCCTCGCGCTCTGGCCAGGCACAGGGTTGTGGACGGGGACACAGACATCAGCATCCAATCTGGGAGGCAGGGCGCGGTGCTGAGTCCTGGACCAGGCACCCTGGGCCCAGCATGCGGCCTGCTAGCCTACCCATGGCGGGCAGCACTGCCTGCCCACGACCTGGAAGCAACAGGCCTGGCCCGGCTTTGCCTCTCAGCACCACGGAACAAACCCCTTCCTTTCTGAGGGCACCCAGGGTGAAGAACACAGCCCAGGTCACTGGGAACAGCAAAGCGAGCCAGGGGGAGGCGTAAGCAGCACTGGTGGGCGCAGACCAGGCCTGCTCTTAGGCCGCACTGGGGGAATGAAAGGGACCAACAGGCCTCTTCTATGCCTGGAGCCAGCGAGAAGCCGAGCACCAGGGAATACCAGCTTCAACCCAATTGTTCAGAGAACCAAAATGAGCCCTAACGGCACAGCCCCGATGAGACAAATCGGACTGCCCACTGACGCACCAAAGCAAGCTGCTGCTCTTTGACTCCGTGGCACGGAGGAGCTCCTGGCCCCAGAGACTGCTTGCTCGTCTCCGCCTGGCCACTGGACCCTCACATTTGGAACCCTGGAAGCAGGAAGCAGCTGTTTCTGCCCAGCTGCCCATGGCCAGTGCAAGACCGGATGAGAAGTCGGGCAGCGTTGTGAAGGACAGCAGCTTGGCTGGGGGCTGGAAAAGCAGAGAAACCCATCCACTCCCCTGGCCTGAGCCACACAGAGGCCACGCTGGGACCCCACCGTGAGGACAGAGGCTGCCAATCTCAGGTCCCCTGTCCTCGGACCCCACAGCCATTTGTCTAATGGTTGGCAGTTTGACCGAGAGGTTTGAGCCAAATGTTAAAAGTTCATTTTATAAAAAAGCCTTTTTCTATTAAAAACCTGTTCAGACGAGTCCTTCTTGCCCTGCAGGCAGCGCCTCTGCTGGGCCTGCGGTGCCTCCCTCGGCAGGGCTGGGCTCGCTCTGCAAGGCCTGGGGGCGGCAGGCCCAGGCCGAGCTGTCGGGCGGAGGTCCCCACAGGCAGAGGTCGGGCCTGGGTCTTCAAAGCTGCAGGTGAGGTGGCGGTGGTGGTGGCAGGAGCCTGCGCCCCCACGTGTGTGTGTCCGCAGCACAGTGTGGTTCCTCAGTGGCTCAGCTTGGCAGAAGCAAACAACGGGGGGAGGAGAGGGTTAACTACAGGGGCTGCAAAGGCGGAGGAGTGGAGAGGAGGTGCAGAGGAGCAGTCCCTCCCCGCCTCCCTGCCCTCCACACACCCAGCCCGCCGCTCCGCTCAGGAAGGCACACGGTCAGCGGGGCGGAAGGGCCCACCGGGCTCGGCCGCCGGGCTACGCTACATCCGCGCGGCCTCCGACGGAACTGCTGCCACCTAAACTGATGCGCTCGCACACCGTGGCCCCACAGCGTGGAGAAACGTCAGAGGACTACGGGAGTGGCTCGGTCTAGACCCCCGTGCTGCAGCCGCTCCTCTGCGGAAGGGAGGGTGCACCACGGGAGCAGGGCCAGGCCCCTCCTGCTGCTCCTACAGGAACGCCTTATTCCCCTGGGAGCCACAGCTCCACAGCCTGCGATTCGACGGCTGAGACACATGCACGCCACCAGGTTCCTTGGAGTAGAGGGCCCATTAGGACCAAGAAACATGCCGAGTGGAGTCAGCCGGCGCCCACGGGCCTGGCACGTACCCGGGGCCCTCCCAGAGCGCAGTCTGTCCCCGGCCAGGCCACGTCTCCGAGCTCAGTCTCAGTGGGGCCCGACCACAAGAGCGAGGCCAGCACCTCAGAGCAGCCGAGGGGAGGGGGCGGGGCCGCAGGCTGCGGGGTTCTGGCACTGGGCCGTCACAGTGGCTGGCTGTGTCAGGGAAGGTGAGGACAGCGCCCCGCCGCGGCTCAGGACAGAAGACGGGGGCGGGGCCGGGAGCCAGGCCCACCCGAGAGGGTGTTAAGGTGCGTTCTGCGTGGGCTCCCGGCCCCGCACATCCCTTGCCCCCTTGCTGCCCACTTCAAAGGCAACTCACCCCCCAAGCTGTCCTCAGCCCAAGGGGGAGGATTCACAGTGTGTGGCGGTGTGGGGCACATCTGTGAGTGTGTGTCTGGAGCAGCTGCCCAGGAGAGCAGGGCCCCGTGGAGGCGGCGCCGTGGCGTCAGCAGCTGGAAGGAGTCGAGAAAGCAGAAAGACCGGGCGGCAAAGGCACAGTGACACTAGTGGAGACGGGGAGTGGGCTGTTTTAGAAGATAGTGGTCTCATACTTGGTGTTGAGGCTCCGCTTAGAGTCTGGTTTTGGGTCCACAATCCAGGAGACACTGGCATGGGACTGAGCATCTTGGTCCACGTCGGGCGGTTCCAGCTGCCAAACAAGGACACAGAAGAGTCAGAGGGCAGCCCCGGGCTGGGGCCGGAGGCGAGCGGCCCACGGCCCCTTTACCACCTGGGTGGCACTGGAGTCTCAGCCAAGAGCGGGCCGGGGCCGGGGCCTTCCTCGGAGCACCTGGGGGACGGCCACCTCCAGGGGCAGCTCCTCCTCCCAAGGATCTCCCGGTCTGCTCAGGGGAGGAAGCGTGTTCTACCTGAGTCTCCTCTGCCCCGCCCCTGGGCAGGAAAGGGACACGGGGCTGGGCAACTCCACGCCTCGGCTCCCTCAGTGGGGCCAGACAGCTCACCCTGGAGCGAGACCACAGCAGCCATGCCAGGCCTCGGGAGAGAGGACACACGACAGGAACACAGGGGGCGGAAGCACACACAGGGAGGGGCAGAGCGCCAACCAGGAAGGAGAAGGGAACGTGGGCCACGCAGGCCGAGGAAGAGAGCTCACGGTCACTTCGGGGAGACGGACACACAAGACAGCAGGAGGCGCAAAGACCTTGAGTCCAGGACTAAGAGACGGCAGCGGTAGGTAGGAGGGACGGTGGGTGGTGCAGGTGTGACAGTAACAACAGCGACTATCGGGGGGCAGCGGCACCTGGGGCGCAGAGCAAAGCAGACAGACACAGGGGCGGCGTCACGGGCCTGCTGCGGGCTCGCGCTCTCCACAGCCCCGCGGTGGCCTTGCCCTGGGGTGAGCCTGGCGAGGGAGGTGAGCAGGGGAGGAGCTGCTGTCCTAACGGGCAGGGACTACTGGAGGGGCAGCCCCCCACCCGGGGACCCCGAATCCAGGCCAGGGAGACGACGGGGCGCCCCGGTGCTGGCGGCCCACGTACTGCAGATTTCCTCACGCCGACCCGAGGCTTAGGCACTGGTTTGGTAGACTTGGTTTCAATCGTCTCTGCTGCGGGGGCCCCCACAGGCCTGGCCTTCTGGGCCTGCAGAGCCAGCTGATAGGCCACCTCGAAGGCCTGCCCGAGCGTCAGGATGACCTCGTAGGTGAGATTCTGGGGGGAGACAGAGCACTGATGAGCGGGGGCGCGGGGGCTGCGCCGGCCTCTCTCCAGTTCTGCCTTGAACACTAACAGAGAGCGCCTGTCTGGAAAACAGGGTGTTGCAGCAGGACTGAAACATCAGGGGACAATCTGAGCACAGCACGGCTTTTTCCATTTGCATAATTACACCTTTCAGAAAGGCCAGGTGAATGCAGGACCTGCGGCTGCCACACCAGCTCGTCCCAGAACCGAGACAGCCACCCTTCCCACCGCCTTCCCTCCCTCCCTGCTGGCCCTCCTCCCTCCCACTCCTGGGGCCTCTCCCGTTCTCCCCCCCTCACTTGAAAGGTCATGGCTGGGGTGGGGAGGGAAGGAAGGAGGGAGGGTGTGTGTGTGTCATGGCAGGGGTGGGGAGGGAGGGGCGTGTGTGTGTGTGTGTGTGTGTGTGTGTGATGGTGGGGGAGGGAAGGAAGGAGGGAAGGGTGTGTGTGTGTCATGGCGGGGGAGGGAGGGGTGTGTGTGTGTGTGTGTGTGTGTGTGTTGGTGGGTGTGTGTGTCCGCACACGGCTCTGCAAGCCTTCAAGGCGGTGCGTGTGCTGCAGTATCTAGTTACATATTTTGTAACCATTTAATACAATAGTGTGAGTGTTTTTAAGTGCCTTTTTTGTACTGTGTCACTGACAGTTGGTGCCCCTAACCCCTTACCCACAAGCCCCATGGTGTTTCTGTGTGGTTTATGCAGCACGGTGAGTTTTAGGAGCACATACGACACAGAGCGGGCTGCACACGACAAGGGCCACGGACTGTGCGTGCGGCGTGGGTCACCTCCCTCCATCTCCAGGCCTTCCCCGCCTCCCCGACCGCGAGGTTGGCTACACAAGTCTTCAGAGAGTTCATGGAAAATGCATATTATATAAAAACTATGCATGGATTTCAACTGATTTGTACCAAAAATAAACTTACCTTTTAATTTCATTTTCCAAAACCCTTTTGCAGTCCCTCATATTTCCCTTTGAATAGATGAGGAAATGGCCACAAGTGTTTCCCAAGTCACACAGCCAGCAAGGGGCACAGCCAGGTGTCTGATGCCAGACCCGGTTCCTAACCCCACCAGCCCAGAGCAAGCAGGAGGCTGGGCTGCAGGGGGTGCTGAGAGCTGAGTACTCCAGGAGCCACAGAGCTTCTGAAGTAGCTGCTCTCCCGGAGGGCCGTGGGGCCTTGTCTCCGGGCAGAGTCCCCACAGGCCCCAGGCTGAGTGTGAGAAGAAATGTGAGGAAGGAAACCTGCACGGGAGGGCGCTGCCGGGACAGGGCCACGGGGCCGGGCACAGAGCCCTGGGGAGACAGAGGCCTCGCCAGCCCTCAGAAACCCCTGCCTCGCAGGCCCTGGCCAGCCCTGGCCGCCTCCGTGCTTCAGCCTCACCCCTGTGTGAAGGAGACCGGCCCGGGAGGCAGCAGGCCTGCTCCGTGGACCACGCGTGTGCTCAGTGCCCGCCGGGGCCGGGGCCGGGGCGCCACCCACCACGTCCACTGTGCTGAAGACGTGGCAGTAGTGGTGGCTGGTCTGCAGGTCCTTGGTGATGTAGGCGAAGGTGCACAGGTCCTCGGGGTCCTGGGCCGCGCAGGAGATGTTGCGGATCTCGTGCTCTGCGATGACGTTCTGCGGGCAGGAAGCGCTCTGGGACCCCCGCCTTCCCCAGGCCCAGCCCCGGCACCACCGCCCAGGCTTCTACCATCTCCATCGCCTTTTCTGTCTCACCCAGTGCATCAGCCAAACCCCACTTCCACCTCTCCCAACTCAGGTGCGGGCTCTCTGCCTCTGATCACAGCTACTAAGGCAGTAAAGTGTTCACATCCAATCTTGAGCTTTCTCTAGCCCCTCCGGCCTCCAGGGTAGGGAAGAGGTGGGAAGGGGCTTAGGACGGTGGCACCCCAAGTGGTAGTGCATGGCGCGGGGAGGGGCCTTTGCTCACCGAAGGCCTGCGAGCAGGTAAGCCATGCTGACTAGGGTGGGCAAAGAGGCAGGTGGCAGGGCCCAGGGTAGAAGATAGGCAAGCACCTGGCAAGGGTGGTGGGATGAGAATGACAGGGACCCAGGGGCACTCTGAGACCAGGGGTGAGGAGGGGCATCCGGGTGGCTGGCCCTGGAGCCCCATCACTGTGACGACAAGGCCCCTGCGCCTGTCTACAGGCCTCAGGAGAAGCGCACCTTGTTGGAGGCATCGATGAACTTGACTCCTTTGTAGGTGATGGACAGGATGATAGTGGGGATCTTCTTCATGTGCTCAGTGGATTTCTGGAGAGAACAAGGGGTGCCCGTGCATGTCCCTTCACCGCCTTGGTTTCCAGCCCCGGCCTCCCTCCCATCCGCCGCACGGTGCTCCCGCCTGCGGCCTCCTGCCCTAGCTGGCCCCTGCGTGCTCCAGCCTACCCGCATCTTGGCACAGGCGTCTTGTGTAGATTCTGTCCCTCGCAGGTCTTTGATCAGCATGGACCCCAGATACTGTGGGAGCGAACAGTGGCTGGGCTCAGGACTCGGGTGTTACTGTCCAGTGTGACCCGCCAATCTGGGGCTGTCCCACAACCCAGCGAACCCCCTTCTGCCCAGGCTGGGAAGGCCTCCACTATCCCCTGGCTAAGCCCATCCAGAGCTCTCTACCCCGGCCCCTATGCTGCGGGGAGGCACTGAAGAACAGAGAAAACAGCCTCTGAGCCCCGGGCCTGGGCCTGGGCCTGGGCGGGTCCGAGGGCCAGCCTGGACTCGGAACTCCAGAGGCCTGGCCGGGAAACGGCGGTGGGGAGGAACTCACGTTGGCTTCGTAACCACAGGACTCGAAGATGAGCTTCTCCGGCTGGTGCTGCCAGCTCTGCACGGGGGCGTAGGGGGCAGCCAGGCTGGGGGGCCGAAGGGTCAGCTTGGCCTCGCGGTGCTCTTCCTGCAGAACACGTGCCATGGGACGGCTGCTGGCTGCTGGCTGGCCGCAGCACACCCAAGGGTGCAGAAGCCAGTGACCTCAGAGTTCAAGGGCCAGTGGAGAGGGCGGGGGCAGAGTAGCAATTCAAATGCACTGTGCAGGGGAGGAGGTGCTGAGGACAGCAGGGAGGGGGCACCCACGGCTCAGAGCAGGGCTCAGTCAGGAAGGGCTGGCTCTGCAGAGTCCAAGAGGAGTCCCAAAGGAGACCGGAAATGGCCAAAAGCAAAGGGGAATACAGCAGACTCCGTGTGGGGAAGCCCGGGCTGCTGGGCGCTGTCCAGAACAAAGCAGAGGTGCACACGACTCGAGCCGTGTCTCACAGTGCAAGACCGGGAATCCTTGGCTAGGATGCTTTTAATTTTTACTTGAGAGACACAGAGCGAGCTCCCATCTGCCGGCCCATTCCCTGAATACCCACAATGGCTCCTGGCTGCAGCTGAAGCTGGGAACTCAACCCACGTCTCCTACTTGGGTAACAAGTCCCACCGGGAGCCAGCACTGCTCCCCAGGGTCTGCACTGGCAGGAGGCTGACGTCAGGAGCCAGAGCCAGGTCCCGAACCCAGGCCTTTTGATGGGGGATGTGGGAGGCTTAAAGACCAGGCAAAACACCTGCCCCTGGGGCTGCATTTTAAACAGAGCCTTCAGGCAGCAGCTGGGCGAGGGGCTGGGCCCAGGTGAAGATGATGGCTTCCTCAGGAGGGCAGGGGAGGAAGGAGCAGATTCGGGCAGTGTGTAAGGCTTCCACTGCCAGCAGCTGTGGCCTCGCAATACAGAGCGCCTGAAACTGCTGGAAGGGCCGTTCTTAAGACCTTTGAAGTCACGGTCAAGTTTGTGGAACAGCAAGCGAAATCCCCAGATGCCAGCAATGAAAAGTGTGAGTCAGAAAAAGAGGCAGGAGTGAAGTTAAAGTCACCCTCACGGGCGTGAGGAACACCTGCCAATCCGCTATCTGACAAGCCCAAAGGGGACAAGGGACACGGCCAGGGGCCTGTGCAAGGCAGCAGGTGGGGCAGGCCAGTCTTCAGTATCTCGACGCTCTGAGCAGGTGAGCTAGAGTGAGAGATGGAACCAGCTTTGGGCAAGGACATCAGGCGGCACCAGGGCCGGCAAGGCTGGTGAGCACCCTGGGGTCGCCAGCTGTACCCACTGGAGGCCGCAGGCACAGAGCAGGAATGGCCGGCTCTGAGTTGGGCTGCAGTTCTGCTGGGGAGGTGAACAGATGTGAGCTGTGGGAGCAAGCCGTGCGAGGAAGAGAGAATGGGCGGGAGCAAGGGCCCTGGGGTGGGCCGTGGGAATGAGCAAGGGCCTTCGGGGCTGGACAGTAGGGAGCTGCGGTCACAAAGGAGCAGGTGGCTCTGAACACCTGAAGGGGGAGTCCAGGCCACTGAGATTGTGGGTGCGGCCCGAGCACCGACACTGCGGCGCACTGTGCAGTCCGAGCTCCGGGAGGCCGGCCGGGCCTCAGCTGGGCCACCGAGTGGAAGACAAGGGAAGCAGGCCAGGTCGCTTCCAACGTGCCCAGGCACGGGGCAGCAGATGGCTCCGGGGGGTCCGTCCTGCCCACCTGGGTTCTGCAGCGCTCAGTGCGAGAGGGTGCGGCAGGCTCGTGAAGGCTCTCGTGCCGCCGCCTGCCCGTGTCCACCGAAGGCAGCAGGAGGTCCGCTGAGCGCCCGGTACACGAGTCACTCTGGCTCAGGGGGGATGACGTCTGGGAGAGCAGGTCTTGGCACTGCATGGGGAGAAACCCAGGTGGAACCACACCCCACTGGCCCAGTGTGACGACCCCACCCGCAGGGGTGTGGCCACCACAAGCACCCTCAGGCCACGATGCTCCCCTGGGCCTGGGCCGTCTGTGGAGAGGACAGCTCTAGGCCAGGGTGCTGCTTTTACGCCCATCAGAGAGGGAATCATCTGCACAAAACCTTGGGAAGACTACGGCACTGGCAGCGGCACCCTGTGGTCCCAGCTGAGAGCAAACGAACCTGCGCCCTCAGGCTTCCTAAGAATGGACGTCCGCTGTGCGCTTGGCTCCCAGAACGAGGCTGGGCTGCAGCTTTCTCGTCCATTGGAGGAGGATAAAACAGCCCCCAGTTGCTGAAGTTGTGGGAGAATGAAAGGGATGAGGCCTGGGACAGGGGCCTGGCAGGCACAGCTGGCCTGAGGGGGCAACAGGCTGCGGTGCAACCCATCCCTGCCTGCAGTCGGTTCCGTGACCTCTGCAACACGTCATCTGGGAGGGCTGCTCTTCCCCACCCCAGGCCATCCCGATCCAGCTAGGCCTGGGGCGCAAATCACACCGCCCTGAGGGGACTCCTCCCACCTCACCCCTGCCCTGCCTGAGGCTGAGAGGAACACCCAGAGGCAGCCCCAGCAAAGCCTGCATTCTGTGTATTTGTTTTACTTTCCCCTCAACTTTTATTTTCTTTTAAATTTTTATTTATTTGGAAAGCAGAGAGAGCAAGATCTCCCATCCACCGGTCCACTCCCCAAGTGCTCACAATAGCCAGCGCTGGGCCAGGCTGAGGCTGGGAGCTGGACACTGAATCTGGGCTTCCTATGTGGCTTACAGAGACTCATCGCCTACAGACTCCCAGGGTGCACATCAGCAGGAAGCTGGAACTGGAAGCAGAGAAGGACCTGAACCCCAACACCCTGATACGGGCTGCGAGTATCCAAAGCAGTGACAACAGCTGTGGCAAATGTCTGCCCCAATTTAAAAAATCTCGGTGAAATCTTTTTTTGAAAGGCAGAGAAAGAAAGCTCCTAGGGGTGGCTGTTGTGGCAAACTGGTTCAGTGGCTGCTTGGGGTGCCTGTTCCGCCTCCTGCCGATGCATCCTGGAAGCAGCAGATGACGACTCGAGTACTTGGGTTCCTGCCACCCACAGGGGAGATCGGGGTGGAGTTCCAGGCTCTTGGTTTCAGTCTGGCACATCCCTGGCTGTGGTAGGCATTTGGAGAGTGAAGCATTGGATAGAAGATCTGTCACTCTGCTTTTCAAGTAGATGAAAATAATCTTTTTTTAAAGATCCCATCATTCCCCAAATGCCTGCAACAACTGGGACTGGAATGAGGCTGAAGCCAGGAGCCAGGAACTCAGTCCAGGCCTCCCATGTGGGTGGCAGGGACCCAAGCACTTGAGCCATTACCTGCTGGCTCCTAAGGGAGCATTCGCAGGACCCTGGGATCGGGAGGCGGAGCTGCAGAGCAGACCTGAAAGCAGGCACTCTGAGCTGTGTCTTCCTGCCCCACAGCCCCTTTATCACAGACCAGCCCAGGCTCCTGGGAGGCATGTGATTTCTAAAGAGCCAAAGACCCGTCGCCTGTGCTCCCCTGCTGAGCTGGGCCCAGGGGCAGACTTGGCCCCAACAACACAGCGGAGGCCCCTCTGAAGGGTTCCGAGAGGATTCTCTTTGAGTCCCAAAGATACAGAGAACACGCAGATTCCTTTTATCCCTCAACTCACCCTCAGCTGGGAAAACCTCGGGGGCTTCTGGGGCGGCTCCTCGTAGGGCCTGTCTGCGAGGGAGGCAATGATGCGCTTGCGATGGCCGAGCAGGTGCACTTTCAGGACCTGGGCAGCAAAGAGGGGAGGCGTCAGTGGAGACGGGGCTCCTGGGGTCCCCATGGCCAGATGTGTCACCAAGGAGCCGGCCCAGGCCCAGGCTGTACTCACATTGACGAGCTCCAGCTCCCAGAGGTTCTTCACAGTGTCGATGGAGCTGTAGCCACTCGACAGGAAGGAGTGGACATAGTCCTGCAGCCCCAGGGAGTCCAGCCAGGAGGGCACTGATGGGGGGCTGTTCCCATCACAGCCCAGCGCCTTCACCTGTGGGGCAAGGGAGGCAACGGGGCTGACATCTCCACACTCACAGGATGGGGACCTGGGGCCAGGCCAGCTCACACAGCTACACCAGGGGCAGCGGCTGAGGGAAGCCCCTGAGTACCCCCAAGTCCCTCCCTTTCTAGCACTGGCGCTTTGGCCTTAGCTTCCCCATGTGGGAGGTGGGAACCACTGGCTGACCCTCAGGGCCGGGTAAGGCTAGATGGGGGGGTGCAGGGACCAGAAAATGGGGTGTCTGTGAAGCAGGTGCTTCTAAGCCCTGACCGAGTGGAAGGAACACGGGGCCCTGGACTTGGCACCAGCACGGCTCAGGGGAGGGGCCCAGGCATGCCAGCTCCGAGCTCCCCAGGGGAAGACTATGCCTTCCTGGCTGCCCTGCTCTCCCAGGCCCACCTGGGGAGGGGCCTGTCGCCGGAGATCAGTACGGGGTGGCCTGGATGCCCCAAAGGGGCTCGAGGTGACAGGCCAACCCTGTGGGCATCAGGCTCACATGAGAGCCTGGCACCTCCCTGGTCCATCCTCACAAGGTGTTTACGACTCCTAGAGCCCTGATGCCTCTCCAGGGGCCTCGCGACTCAGTGAGGAAGCAAACAGAGTGTGTGCTGGCCCTGCTGGGGCTCTCAGGACAAGGAAGAGACCCGTATGATCTGTACGTGCTGGAGCCCAGCTGTCCTCAGTCCAGGGGACAGCGTTAGGGACAGGGCCCTGGCCTTGGCATAGTAGTGGTCACCTTGGGCAGAGAGCGCGCGGCCTGGAGCAGCTTCCGCCGGTGCTGCGGGTCACCAATGCCAATCTCTCGCAGATCTTGTTCTTCCATCACGTTAGACCCCTGAGAACAGAGAGAAGACATCAGGGCCCGTCCTGAGCCCACAACTTGTGGTCAAATTCTTCTGCTGCACCAACAGACACCAAGACAGCAAGGGGACTCAGGGGTCCTGGGGCCAGAGGCTGGGGTCGACTGCACACAAACCTGCAGGCTGCTGATCTGGGCCAGATCAGACAAGGACGAGGGGTGGGACCTCCCACGCCTGGCCACCTGCACTAGCCCACCTCAGGGAGTTCATGTGTGTGTCTGGGGAGCAGGTCCCAAGGCCGAGAGGAAGAACCGTTGGGCTAGCCCCGAGGGTTCCTGCAGGTGTGACGGTAGTTCTAGAGCGTGAGAACCCCTGCAGGCAGGCAGCTGGTGACAGAGGCAGAGAGCCAAGGAGCTGGACTTGCCTCCAGGAGGAGGGCACCCAGTTAGAAAGGGCTCCCCGCCCCACGAGGAGTGGGCCAGAGCCGCGTCCACTCGGGTTGTTCTCCCTGACCTCCACCGGCCCCGAGGGGCACCCGCTGCTCAGCACCCCGTGTGATGGGGCGGGGGCGTGGTTGGCACTCACTGCACGCTCCTCACTCTGAGAGCTTTCACGTGGGTCATCCCCACGTCGCACGCACGATCCTGTTCTGCAGATGAGGAAACTGAGGTACACACAGGTGAGAAGTTCCCGAGGTCACACGGCCAGAGGTGGAGCTGATCGGAACCCGGGCAGTGTGACAACGCCACGTCCTCACCCCTGTGAGGACGCCTCGTGCCTGTGACTCACCAGACAGCTATTTTTGGATTCAACTTTGAGAGGCACAGCGTGGGCCCCGATAGGAGACTCACAGGTTCTGCCCTGGCCCTCAGCCACAGCCAGACGCGGGCGGCCGCCAGCTGGGTGCAGGTGGCTCTGGGCGTGGAGCCGGGCTTCCCTTGCAAGAAGGGAAGGGCACAGCAGGAGCTGTGCTGGGAGCGTGGTGAGGGACTGGAGGGGTTGGTACAGGGAAGCTGTGGCGCGGCCCCCGTCCTTTCTGTCGGGAAGGTATTCCGACTTCTTGGAGGAGGAACGTGTCTGACATGTCCAATGACCATGGAAACAGACAGAGGGGTCGCTGCCGACAAGAGAAAAGGAAAAGGATGGGGCCTCCCCCACAGCCCTGATTAGAGCAAATGGATCAAGACCCAGGTTTGGGGGATGGCGGCTCGAGTGACTGGGTCTGTGCCTGGGAGACTTGGATTGAGTTCCTGGCTCTTGGCTTCTTACAGGCATTATGGGAGTGAACTAGGAGGTGGGAGCTCTCTCAAATAGACATAACTCTATGAAATAAAAAAGAGAAATAGGGGCTGGTGCTGTGGAGCAAAAGGTTAAGCCTCTGCCTGTGGTGCTGGCATCCCACACGGGCACCGACTGTGTCCCCGCTGCCCCACTTCCGATCCAGCTCTCTGCTATGGCCTGGGAAAGCTGTAGAAGATGGCCCAAGTCCTTGGGCCCCTGCGCCCACATGGGAGAGCTGGAAGAAGCTCCTGGCTCCTGGCTTTGGACTGGCACAGCTCCGGCCATTGTGGCCACCTAGGGAATGAACCAGTGTATGGAAGTATGGAAGACTTTTCTGTCTCTTCCTCTGTCTTGTAACTCTGCCTCTTAAACAAATAAATAAAATCTTAAAAAAAAAAAAAAAAAAGAAGAAAGAAACAGATGACTAGTTGAACTCGATGCTGCCAACCTCACAGCCTTGGTCTCTGACTCCTCGGTGAAGGCTGGGACAATCCGGGCTGATGTGAGACGAAGCCCACGTGCCTGCCCTGGCTCACACCACTCTTCACGCTCCACAGCCTTTTGATTCTCTGCACACACCCTGCAGTTTAAGTCACCTCTGACGCTGCCCCCGGAGTAGAGCGGATCCCACAGGTACAGGGCTCAGTGCCACAACCCAAGCCCAGGCTGCGACCTGCGCACCTGACACACCGGCTGTAAGCCAGGGTTCCCACGGCCCTTTCCTTGACTTGGATCACTTACTAGGGCAGCTCACAGAACCTCTGCTCACCCGTGTGTAATAAGGATGTGTCCTCGGGCATGTGGGAGGGGCTGGGAGCATCTCTGCTATAGGGACACCAGGCACGCGGCTGCCCTCACGTTCAGCTGCCCTGAGACCTCAAGGCAAGTTGATCAAATCACTGGCCAACCTCAACCTCCCCCTCCCTGAGGGGGCCACCTGCCATCTCATTAGCATACCAAAGGAGATCTCCAGGGGTTTAGGAACTGTGTGTCAGGAAACAGGAGGAAGAGCCACACAGGCATTTCTTATCCTATCACAGTACTCTTCAGGGGAGGGTCAAAGGGATCGATGCCTCAGACCCAGAGGGCCTGAGGGTTTTGTCTGGAGGTGGTAAGAGGGCAGAGAAGTGGGTCTGCGGCCAGAGCAGCTGCCCCGCACTGCAGAGGTGGGAAGGGTCAGGCTGCTGAGGGAGGGGCCGTGCAGCCAGGCCAGGGTCCTGCTCCAGCTGAAGAAAGGCTGTCCCTGCCAGCGCGGCGGCTCACTAGGCTAATCCTCCACCTTGCGGCGCCGGCACACAGGGTTCTAGTCCTGGTCAGGGTGCTGGATTCTGTCCCGGTTGCCCCTCTTCCAGGCCAACTCTCTGCTGTGGCCCGGGAGTGCAGTGGAGGATGGCCCAGGTGCTTGGGCCCTGCACCCCATGGGAGACCATTGGATCAGCGCGGTGCGCTGGCCGCAGCACACCGACTGTGGCGGCCATTGGAGGGTGAACCAACGGCAAAGGAAGACCTTTCTCTCTGTCTCTCTCTCACTGTCCACTCTGCCTGTCAAAAAAAAAAAAAAAAAAAAAGGCTGTCCCAGCTTGTAGCCAGAAGGTGAGGTGGGCAAGGTCACACAGCCCAATCCCCTCTTTACAGAGGCACAGAACCCGGGACCCTGGCACCTGCTGCGCCTCTGTCCTCAGCCAGCTACAGCCTCCAGGTGTCTTCTACCGTCTCCACTCACTGCCTACAATGCCAGAGACTCTGAAGCACTCAGCCTGGGAAGGCCCACACCATGGGGAGACCAGCCCTTCCTCTCCCCCGACCACCTACCCTACACAGGCCACGTGTGGGAGCTAGGGAGGGGGAGGCATCCTGGGAAGGTGGGCAAGAGCTGGACATGTGGCGGATTCAGCGGAGGCTCCAGGCTGCAAGAGCCAAGATGAGGACGGTGCCAATACTAACGATGGCCTGCAGGGGGCTGACAGTGATGAGCACAAGCACCTTGCCCGCATCTCATTAATCCTTACAGTAACTCCACAAGGAGGACAAAGCCCCACTGTAGAGTAGGAAACCAAGAGAACCTCCCTGTCCACCTGCAGGGATAACAAAGGCCCAGGGGTGGGTTTGTTAGGGAAATGCAGTAAGGAAACAGAGCTGCCGTTCTGGTTCTCATCCTGGTTGCTTCACTTCTGATCCAACTCCCTGCTGACAGCCTGGGAAAAGGGCTCTTGCACCCACGTGGGAGACCCAGAAGCTCCTGGCTTCAGCCTGGCCCAGCCCTGGCTGTTGTGGCCATCTGGGGAGTGACCCTGAAGATGGAAGACCTTTCTTTCTCTGTCTCTCCTTCACTCTCCAACTCTTTCAAATAAATAAATTCATCTTTAAAGACAAGACAGAGACTAGTGGCCAGAACAGCACTGGCTGAGCACTGCCTCCTCCAGCCTCATCTCCATGCTGGTCACTCCCTGCCTGCCACCAGACATAAAAATGCAAAGGCTGCCATGAGACAGAGCTGCATCCTGGCCTGACAGGTGTTTCTCCCCGTAGCTCCTCCCCTCTCGCCTCACACAGCAGGTGCGGTACCCAAGGGGGCATACTCAGGAAACACAGCTAATGTGACTCAGGACCAGAAAGGAGAATCCCCCCAAGGCCAGCAGAGCCAGCACAGGGGAAAGCTGTGTCCTGGCTGGGTGACAGTTGTTCACCAAACCCTGGGCAGAGTGGGAGGCGGGGCCCGAGTTACTCAGAGCTTCCTGAGCCAGGGCCGGGTGGGACCTCTGCTCCGCCTTCAAGAGCATGGTGGATTTCCACTGGGCCCTGCATTCTCTCTCCAATTTTTTTTTTTTCTGAGTAGAATTATACGTTAATTGTAGAACATTTTGAAAGTAAAGAAAGCACAAAGAAAAATGTGAAAGCCACCTATAAATCACCTTGGGAGGAAAAGAAGGTTCCCATTTTGGTACATTTTTTTCTTTTATTTTTTTTTTCTTTTGACAGGCAGAGTGGACAGTGAGAGAGACAGAGAGAAAGGTCTTCCTTTGCCGTTGGTTCACCCTCCAATGGCTGCTGCAGCCGGCGCGCTGCGGCCGGCGTAGTCTATTGAGCCGTGGCGCCGGCCAGTACATTTTTCTAAATGAATGAATTTTCTTTAAAAAGTGGGATGTTTACCATTTTAGTGTACTTTTCTAAGTTTTATTAAATTTTGGGGGGTAAAACTGGGGCTGTAACACATACTTGTGCATGCATACACCCCACATATGCAGCTTTTCCCACACACCCATGGACTGTGTGCAGAACTTGCCCAGGACACACAGCTGTCCTCCACCAACATGGCAGTGGCCGCACACACACCCACAGGCTGCCTGCTCTAGGCTCTGCCTGCTAGTCGCCGCTGCGGCAGGCTGCCGTCGCTCCCAGAACAACCTCTGCGGTTCAGGCCACTGAACACAGACCAGGCTTCTGTCTCAGCTCGGACTGGGGTGTTGTCACCAACCCGTGGGGGCTTTCGCAGTGAGCCAGGAGAGGGGGTAGAGCACACTCTTCCCTGCAGCCCAGAGAACAGCCCCAGACTCAGAGAGTTTGGGGTGACAGGAGCTGGCCAGGGGACAGCAGAAAAGCCTCGGAGTGAGGGGCAGACAGCAAGGAGGGAGAGCGCTCTCTCTTGCTCAGGGTTGTGCTCCCAGACACCCCAGGGGTAAGGGCTTTCCAAGCGCCAGCAACTACACAAGGTGGCTGTGTTGTAAAGACACGAGAACGGGTTCTACTGGTTTTG